CCACTGCCTAGAAACAGCCGATTCATTAAGACAGGGGAATTGCAATAGAGAAAGAGTAATTCATGCAGAGCCAACTGTCCAGAAGACCAGAGTTTATTTTTGCTTTTATGTTTTGTAAACTTTCAGTTCTGATATACATGTGCAGAATGTGCAGGTTTGTTACATAGGTAAACACGTGCTATGGTGGTTTGCTGCACCCATTGACCCATCATCTACATTAGGTATTTCTCCTAATGCTACTCCATCCCTAGTCTCCCACCCCCCAAACACCCTGGTGTGTGATGTTCCCCTACCTGTGTCCATGTGTTCTCATTGTTCAACACCCACTTATGAGTGAGAACATACCGTGTTTGGTGTTCTGTTCCTGTGTTTGTTTGCTGAGAATGATGGTTTCCAGCTTCATCCATGTCCCTGCAAAGGACATGAACTCATCCTTTTTTATGTCTGCATAGTATTCCATGGTGTATATGTGCCACATTTTCTTTATCTAGTCTATCATTGATGAGCATTTGGGTTGGTTCCAAGTCTTTGCTATTGTGAATAGTGCTGCAATAAACATATGCGTGTGTGTGTGTGTGTGTGTGTGTGTGTGTGTGTGTGTGTCTTTATAGTAGAATGATTTATAATCCTTTGGGTATATACCCAGTAATGGCATTGCTGGGTCAAATGGTATTATGCGAAAAAAAGCTCATCACCACTGATCATTAGAGAAATGCAAATCAAAACCACAATGAGATACCATATCATACCAGTTAGAATGGCAATTATTAAAAAGTCAGGAAACAACAGATGCTGGAGAGGATGTGGAGAAATAGGAATGCTTTTAAACTATTGGTGGGAGTGTAAATTAGTTCAACTATTGTGGAAGACAGTGTGGGGATTCCTCATGGATCTAGAACCAGAAGACCAGAGTTTTATTATTACTCAAATCAGTCTCCCTGAGCATTTAGGGAGCAGAGTTTTTAAGAACAACTTTGTGGGTGAGGGAAGCCAGTGAGCCAGGAGCACTGATTAATCAGGGGTGAAATTGTAGGGAGTCGAAGCTGTCTCCTTGCACTGAGTCAGTTCCTGGGTGGGGGGGTGGGGGGCAAGATCAGATGAGCCAGTTAATCGATCTGGGCAGTGCCCGCTGATCTATCAAGTGTAGGGTCTGCAAGATATCTCAAGCACTGATCTTAGGAGCACTTTAGGGAGGGTCAGAATCTTATAGCCTCCAGCTGCATGACTCCTAAACCGTAATTTCTAATCTTGTGGCTAATGTTAGTCCTACAAAGCAATCTAGTCCCCAGGCAAGAAGGAGGTCTGCTTTCGGAAAGGGCTGTTACCGTCTTTGTTTAAACTATAAACTAAGTTTCTCCCAAAGCTAGTTCAGCCAATGCCCAGGAATGAACAAGGACAGCTTGGATGTTAGAAACAAGTTAAAGTTGGTTGTTAGATCTCTTTCACTGTCTCAGTCATACATTTTGCAAAGGCAGTTTTACTCTTTCCTACAAATGTACATCTTTTTTTTTTTTTTTTTTTTTTTTTTTTTTTTTTCTGAAATGCAGTTTTGCTCTTGTCACCCAGGCTGGATGGAGTGCAATGGCGCAATCTCAGCTCACTGCAACCTCTGCCTGCTGGGTTCAAGCGATTCTCCTGCCTCAGCCTCCCAAGAAGCTGGGATTACAGGCATGTGTCACCATGTCCACTAATTTTTGTATTTTTACTAGAGATGGGGTTTCACCATTTTGGCCAGGCTGGTCTTAAACTCCTGACCTCAGGTGATCCACCTGCCTCTGCCTCCCAAAGTGCTGGGATTACAGGCATGAGCCACGGAGCCTGGCCCAAATGTACATCTCCTTACAGAAGATTTAAATTGTTCTTAACCATTAATGGAAGTCCCAATTCTTTAGCTACTACAATTTTTATTCTCTTTGTGAATGGAAGATTGATTGTTTAGCAATATTCTGTGCAGATCTTTCTGTTTGTAGTTTTTTTTTTTTTTTGTTTTTTTTTTTTTTTTTTTTTTTTTTTTTTTTTTCCGAGACGGAGTTTCGCTCTTGTTACGCAGGCTGGAGTGCAATGGCGCTATCTCGGCTCACCGCAACCTCCGCCTCCTGGATTCAGGCAATTCTCCTGCCTCAGCCTCCTGAGTAGCTGGGATTACAGGCGTGCGCCATGTCCAGCTAATTTTTGTATTTTTAGTAGAGATGGGGTTTCACCATGTTGACCAGAATGGTCTCGATCTCTTGACCTCATGATCCACCCGCCTCGGCCTCCCAAAGTGCTGGGATTATAGGCGTGAGCCACGGAGCCCGGCCTTGTTTGTGGATCTTTTAAGAAGGGGCTTATTTTTAAAAATAAATGTAAAAGGCTAGGCAAAGTGACTCATGTAATCCCAGCACTTTGGGAGGCCAAGGTGGATGGATCACCTGAGGTCAGGAGTTCAAGACCAGACTGGCCAACCTGGTGTAAACCCACGTCTCTAATAAAAATACAAAAATCAGCAGGGTGTGGTGGCACACACCTGTAATCCCAGCTACTAGGGAGGCTGAGGCAGGAGAATCGCTTGAACCCAGGAGGTGGAGGTTGCAGTGAGCTGAGATCGCACCACTACACTCCAGCCTGGGCGACAAAGCAAGACTCCTTCTTAAAATACATGCATACATACATACATACATAAATGTAAAAATTGAGAAAAGTACAATTTCCGTGGCTTTTGTCATTCACACCTGTTTTGAATATTTTGTCATATGAGTCATCTTTTTGTCGTAATAGAAATAAAACATTACAAATAAAGTTGACATCTTCCTGTCCTTCATTCCCAATCCTGCTCCCTTCCCATAGTCTTAACCTTGGTTCCCTCATGGGCTTGAATGTTTAATACCTTGATGTATGCTGCCACCTAGTGGTTGCACTGACAGTGACACTAAATGCTTGTAGGTCCATAGAAAAAGGGTTACCCCCAAGAGGGTTTGATGGGAAATTCGGGGTGGAGGCTATGGTGTGTCATATTATCGGGAATGCTACTCGGTTTAGTGACCGAAAACTAGGAATGCTATATAGTCTCACTTGTTTGGGACAGCAACTCACAAAAAAATTGGGTTGTTCCTAATCCTGGATATTTTTCCTATGAGGTATTGTGGTTGCAATTTTAATATACAGCCTGGGCTCGGTGACTCACACCTGTAATCCTAGCACTTTCGGAGGCCAAGGCGGGTGGATTGCCTGAGCTCAGGAGTTTGAGACCAGGATGGCCAACATGGTGAAACCTCAACAAAACATACAAAAAAAAAAAAAATTAGCCAGGCATGGTGGTGCATGCCTGTGGCCGCAGCTACTTGGGAGGCTGAGTGGGAGGATCACTTGAGCCTGGGAGGTGGAGGTTGCAGTGAGTTGAGATTGCACCACTGTACTCTAACTTGGGTGATAGAGTGAGACTGCGTTTAAAAAAATTAGCATATAATCCCGAATGGTTAGGAATGTAATTATTCTGTACATTGAAAAAAGATTGTTCTATTCAGAATAGTACTAAGAAAGGTTTATCACTGAATAAAATTACTGCTCTTTTGTGCTATTTGTGTGGCATACACACCTCCAGTTTAAAACAACTTCAGTCTGCATTTGGTAGCAGTCACATGTGGGGTGATTCTATGTGTGTGTTGAACAGGAATATATTATTCAGCCAAAGTTTAAAATGCCAAGTATAAAAAAGAAGTGATGGCAATATTCAGCTAAATATTGTCTTAAATTTTCTCACTCTGAAGTTATTCATTATGAGTAGTTTTTTCTTTTGTTTCACCATGATGGCCAGGCTGGTCTTGAACTCCTGATCTCAGGTGATCCACCCACCTCAGCCTCCCAAAGTGCTAGGATTATAGGCATGAGCCACTGTGCCTGGCCTCATTATGAGTAGTTGTAAACAACTGACTACAACTATCTCATTAGGCCTTCTACGGTAATCACTTAAATACTGAAATATACATTATTACTGTTATTATGAGACAGAGTTTTGCTCTTGCTGCCCAGGCTGGAGTACAATGGTGCAATCTTGACTCACTGCAACCTTCACCTCGCAGGTTCAAGTGATTCTCCTGCCTCAGTCTCCCAAGTAGCTGGGATTACAGGCATGCACCACCACATCCAGCTAATTTTGTATTTTTAGTGGAGATGGGGTTTCTCCATGTTGGTCAGGCTGGTCTCGAACTCCCAACCTCAGGTGATCCACCCGTCTTGGCCTCCCAAAGTGCTGAGTTTACAGGAGTGAGCCACCACGCCAGGCCTACATTATTGAATTATACATAATTTCCCTTTTTTTTTTTACACTCTATTAAGGACATTGTATTGATTTTTCAAATTATATACACAGCAAGGTTATATAATTTATGAATTTAATGACAACAAAATAAAATGAGAGCTACATATTATTTATTTATTTATTGAGACATAATCTTACTCTGTCACCCAGGCTGGAGTGCAGTCACGTAATCCCAACTAACTGCAACCTCTGCCTCCTGGGTTCACGCGATGCTCGTGTCTCAGCCTCCCAAGGAGCTGGGATTACAGGTGCCCACCACCACACCCAGGTGATTTTTGTATTTTTAGTAGAGACCGGGTTTCACCATATTGGCCAGTCTCGCACTCCTGACCTCAGGTGATCCACCTGCCTCAGCCTCCCAAAGTTCTGAGGTTACAGGTGTGAGCCACTGCACCTGGCTACGTATCTGTTATTTTTTTTTAATTTTTAATTTTTATTTTTTTTGAGACGGAGTTTCGCTCTTGTTACCCAGGCTGGAGTGCAATGGCGCGATCTCGGCTCACCGCAACCTCCGCCTCCTGGGTTCAGGCAATTCTCCTGCCTCAGCCTCCTGAGTAGCTGGGATTACAGGCACGCGCCACCATGCCCAGCTAATTTTTTGTATTTTTAGTAGAGACGGGGTTTCACCATGTTGACCAGGATGGTCTCGATCTCTTGACCTCGTGATCCACCCGCCTCAGCCTCCCAAAGTGCTGGAATTACAGGCTTGAGCCACCACGCCCGGCCATCGTATCTGTTATTTTTAAAGGAGACATTGAATTACAAGGGGTTGAGAATTTTTTAGGTGGAATAACAATAGATTATCTTTATTGTGCTCTTGCTATGTGCCATGTTCAAAAAGTATTACATTTATATCTCAAAATAACCCCGTGAGTGGGTTATTTTCTGTCCCATTTTCAGAGGAGGAAACTGAGGCCCTGAGAGGACTAGGCAAGTTTACTGTAGTAGAGTAAATGATAGCGGTTGGGTTTGAAGCCAGCCAGTCTGGCTTTAGCAGCCCCTCTGGAAGTTCCTCCATTCTACTGCCTCTCCATAGAGACAGATCACTGAGCCCCAAGCTCTCCCCACGGGCCAGTCACTCTGTTGTTTGTTTGTTTTGGAGACGGAGTTTCTCTCTTGTTGCCCAGGCTGGAGTGCAATAGCATGATCTTGGCTCACCGCAACCTCCTGGGTTTAAGCAATTCTCCTCCTCAGCCTCCCAAGTAGCTGGGATTATAGCTGCGTGCCACCATGCCCGGCTAATTTTTGTATTTTTAGTAGAGATGGGGTTTGGCTACGTTGGTCAGGCTGGTCGGTCTCAAATTCCCAACCTCGGGTGATCCACCCGCCTCAGTCTCCCAAAGTGCTGGGATTACAGGTGTGAGCCACCGCGGCGGGCCCAGTAGCTCTGTTTTATATGCTTTGCTGGCCCTAGCACTACCCGGTGATGTAGGTGTTATTACCTCCAGGCTGCCTAGCCACTGAGAGTCCCGACTATCTCCACTATTGGCTGTTTCAGACTAAGGATGCGGTGGTAACATCAACTTCACAGAATTGAATGAGAAATTCGAAGCAGCTTTGCAAGTACATCGTATTAGTTCTATCCCCTACAGGCTTTGATAATCAGCCAGTGCTTTCTAACGACATTAAATAAAGGGGAGCCAGGGACAGTGGTAAGCTACTTGGGAGGCTGAGGTGAGAGGATCACTTGAGCCAGGAGTTCTAGGCCATCCCGGGCAACATAGTGGGACTCCATTTCTCAAAAAAAAAAAAAAAAAAAAAGGAGGGGAAACAATGACAGTTCTCTGAGATCTCCCTGCTCTGGCTCCTACATTGTCGTACTCCTCCATTAGCATCATGATATATAGCCCAGCATACTCCAACACAGCATGGAATAGAAGTAGACTTTCTTTCTTTCTTTTTTGAGGTGGAGTCTCGCTCTCTCACCAGGCTAGAGTGCCGTGGCGTGATCTAGGCTCACTGCAACCTCCGCCTCCCGGGTTCAAATGACTCTCCTGCCTCAGCCTCCCAAGTAGCTGGTACTACAGGGGCGCGCCACCACGCCCAGCTAATTTTTGTATTTTTAGTAGGGACGGGGTTTCACGATGTTGGCCAGAATGGTCTCGACCTCCTGACCTTACGATTGGCCTGCCTTGGCCTCCCAAAGTGCTGTGTTTACAGGCATAAGCCACCATGCCCACCCAGATTTTCTTTCTTTCTTGAGAGTATGTCTTCTCTCTCCACCTAAACTATAAATAAGCATGGCACCTCTGCCATCCCTCTTTCTTCCTCTGTGGGGTCCAGCCCAGTTCTAGGCACAGAAAATGTACTTGTTCATGCCTGGGGACATTAAAACATTATTTTGTTCTCAAATGAAAAATTCCATGATGAAGAAGTTATCAAATATCCTTACCTTTATCCACCACAACAGATGACCTGGAAAATCATTGAGTCTGAATAAACAGGTGTGCTTGCTGGGAAGTTTTGCTTGATAAAGGGCCAGAAGTGTTCCCCTCTCAACGGAAGCACTAAAAACAAAAGGAAGGTCAAAACTTTGCAGGCTGTCATAATAAAAAGTCTTAATACTCCAAAACAAACACCAAAACAGTATTACGAGTACAATAGTTGGTAGTAACACTGTCTTCATTTTATTTAACAAACCCCCCATAGAGCACTTACTTTGTGCTGGATACAATTCGTGTGTGTGTGTGTGTGTGTGTGTGTGTGTGTGTGTGAAGGAGTCACACTCTATTGCCCAGGCTGGAGTGCAGTGGCATGATCTCCGCTCACTGCAACCTTCACCTTTCGAGTTCAAGCAATTCTCTCTGCCTCAGCCACCTGAGTAGCTGGGATTGTAGGCACCCACCACCACACTCAGCTAATTTTTGTATTTTTAGTAGAGATGGGGTTTCACCATCTTGGCCAGGCTGGTGGCGATCTCCTGACCTGCCTTGGCCTCCCAAAGGTTGAGGATTACAGGTGTGAGCCACAGTGTCCAGCCGTGCTAGATACAATTTTAAGTGTTTCCCTTTTTTTTTTTTTTTTTTTTTTTTGTAATGGAGGTTTGTTCTTGTTGCTGGAGTGCAATGGTGTGATCTTGGCTCACTGCAACCTCTGCCTCATGGTCTCAAGTGATTCTCCTGCTTTAGCCTCCCAAAGTGCTGGGATTACAGGCATGAGCCATTACGTCCAGCGTGTTTCCCAAATGTTAAATCATTTAATCACAATGTTTCTATGAGACAGAGTGCTGATCTTTTAGGACCTGTTTGCTCTCCAATTCCTAGATCCTTTCCCAGCTCTACTCTGCCCTGCAGGCTGCATTTCTCAGGTGCATGTGAAATGTGGCTTCCAGTTAGATTAGTTTTCCAGGGAGACTGGAAAGCAGGCCAAAAGGAGAAGCCCATTTCTCCTGCACATTCTTTGATTCTGTGGCTTTAGGTCTTCCTAAATAGGTCCATTACATTTCCCAGGGGGACCACAGCCCCTAGGGCCCAGAAGCCCTGCCTCTTTCCCTTATCTCTCTGACTTGGGGATGGTAGAGGTTTCCTGCTGTCACTATGCTTTCAGTTGATTCTCCATTTGTCCTCTTGGCTTCTCAGATCTTCTGTTACCCATAACATCCATTTCCTATATTAAATTCTTCCCTCCTTTAAATGCTTAGTGGGTGTTCTGTTTTTCTGTTATGATCCTAACTAGTATCATCATCTCTATTTTACGTAAAAGGAAACAAAAGCAAAGTTAAGGAAATTTATACCAAGGTCATACAACCAGTAAGTGGCAGAGTGATTCCAACAGGCAGCAGAGTCCATGGCATCACTATTAAATGTAAGTTAGAGATGATCCCCGCTCTACCTCCGGGAGTTGCTATGTAAGTCCACAGTTCTCAATTTTTTTTTTTTTTTTTTTGAGTCTCACTCTGTCACCCAGGTTGGAGTGTACTGATGTGTGATCTCTGCTCACTGCAGCCTCTACCTCCAGAATTCAAGTGATTCTCCTGCCTAAGACTCCCAAGTAGCTGGGACTACAGGCACACACCATCATGCCCGGGGAATTTTAAAATTTTTAGTACAGTCGGGGTTTTGCCATGTTGGCCAGGCTGGTCTCGAACTCTTGACCTCAAATGATCCTCCTGCCTTGACCTCTCAAAGTGCTGGGATAGCAGGCATAAGCCACCACGCCTGGCCTCAAGCTTTTTAGTCTCAGGACTTATTTACACTCTAAAAAATGTTTCAGGGTCCCAATGTGTTTTTGTGAGCCTTATGTGGGATTAAGAGAAAAATCGTTAACATAGAGAAAAACAACCCATCACATTTAGAGAAACAATTATTCAAAAGAACACGGATTGCTGAGAAAGTATGGAAGTCAAAGACAGTGCAGTAATCTCTTTAGAGTGCTGAAAGAAAGCTGTAAAAACAGAATTCTAGACCATCAAGATTTTTTTTCTTTGAGATGGAGTCTCACTCTGTCACACTCTGAGGCCAGAGTACAGTGGTGTGATCGAGGTTCACTGCAACCTCTGCCTCCTGGTTTCAAGCGATTGTCCCGCCTCAGCCTCCTGAGTAGCTGGAATTACAGGTGTGTGCCACCATGTCCGGCTAATTTTTGTATTTTTTAGTAGAGACAAAGTTTCACCATATTGCCAGGCTAGTCTTAAACTCCTGACCTCAGGTGATCTGCGTGCCTCGGCCTCCCAAAGTGCTGGGATTACAGGCATGAGCCACCGTGCCTCGCCAAGTATTTAAATAAAATAAAAATATTTCTTAAATTTAAAAAAATTTTAAAACTTTTTTCTTTTTCACAGAAAAAATAAACCTGCAAATATATATAATTATGTGTGAAATACAGATATATAATTTATATATATATATGTGTGTGTGTGTATATATATATATATATATATATATATATATATATATATATTTGAGATGGAGTCTCACTCTGTTGCCCAGGCTGTAGTGCAATGGCACGATCTCGGCTCACCTCAACCTGCGCCTCCCTGGTTCAAGTGATTCTCCTGCCTCAGCCTCCCGAGTGGCTGGGACTGCAGGCATGCACCACCATGTCCAGCTAGTTTTTGTATTTTTAGTAGAGACGGGGTTTCACTATGTTGGCCAGGCTGGTCTTGAACTCCTGACCTCGTGATCCACCTGCCTTGGCCTCCCAAAGTGCTGGGATTATAGGTGTGAGCCACCGCACCCGGCCACAAAAATATTTTAAGATAAAATAACACTAGTAAAATGTGTTTCCAGAAAACCTGCACTAGGAGAAATGCAAAGGAAGTCCTTCATGCTGATGAAAATGGTACCAGATTAGAAACTCAGGATTTAGGGAGAAATGAAGAGCATACAAATGGTATATGTATATCTCTTGGGAAATATAGATTATTTTTTGTCTCAATTTCTGAATTTCTTTATTTTTATTTCCTATTTATTTCTTTATTTTTGAGATGGAGTCTTGCTCTGTCACCCAAGTTGGAGTGCAGTGGTGTGATCTCAGCTCACTGCAACCTCCACTTCCCTGGTTCAAGCGAGTCTCCTGCCTCAGTCTCCAGAGTAGCTAGGATTACAAACACATGCCACCATACTTGGCTAAGTTTTGTATTTTTAGTAGAGATGGGGTTTCACCATATTGGCCAGGCTAGGCTCGAACTCCTGACCTCAAGTGACCCTACCGCCTCGGCCTTCCAAAGTGGTGGGATTACAGGCATGAGCCACTGCGCCCAGCCTTAATTTCTTTAAAATATATGTGATTGTTTAAAGCAAAATTATAACATTGTTGGGTTTATAATCAGCAGAATACTAAAGCTGACGGGTACTAGCTCATGAGAATCAATTGTTAAACTTTCAGGAAATTTAAGAACCAGCTGAAGATACACTGGTTAATTTCAAGTTGTTTGAAATTGACCATGGTGGAAATATTTACTCTACGGAAATAAGCAAACACTGTAGGACCTTTCTCTTTAGATCCGGTTGTCCAGTATTAACCAGCACACTGCTGTTTATAATATATAGAGATATGATACATACAACAACTATAGCACAAAGGATAGAAAGATGGTCTTCAGGGATTATGTGACTGCAAGTTCTCTACATTATACGTGAACTGGTCAGTGTTAACTCTAAGTGTGCAGTGAAAAGTTGAGGATGCGTATTTTAACCTGTCAATCATGACTAAACAAAATGCAAAGAGAAAGGGCTAAAATGACAATAGATAAATTATAATGAAATTGTTTACAAAATTCAAATAGTCCACAAGTGGGAAAAAAAGGAAGCAAAGGAAAAAAAAGGAGGGGATAACACAAGTAAGAAAATGGTATTTTCAGGCCTCCGTGGCGGCTCACGCCTATAATCCTAGCATTTTGGGAGGTCAAGGTGGGTGGGTCACGACGTCAGGAGTTTGAGACCAGCCTGACCAACATGGTGAAACTGTCTTTACTAAAAATACAGAAATTAGCAGGGAGGGTGTGGTGGTGCACACCTGTAATCCCAGCTACTCAGGAGGCTGAGGCAGGAGAACTGCTTGAGCCCAGGAGTCAAGAGGTTGCATAGACAATATACATGTTCTCCAGATCTAGGCAATACCATAATGGCATAAATTAAATTAAACCATGATAGTATTAAATTAAAAATTAGTAAAATATCTAGGAAATCACAAATACTTGGAAATACAATCCACTTCTAAATAATCCATGGATCAAGAAGTAATCACAAGAATTAGAAAACATTTCAAACTGTGTAATAATGAAAGATAAGTTTCCAGCAGGGCACAGTGGCTCACATCTGTATTCCCAGCACTTTGGGAGGTCAAGGCGGGTAAATCACCTGAGTTCAGGAGTTCAAGACCAGTCTGGCCAACATAGCAAAACCCCTCTCTACTAAAAATACAAAAATTAGCTGAGCATGCTGGCAGGCACCTGTAATCCCAGCTATTTGGGAGGCTGAGGCAAAAGAATCGCTTGATCCCAGGAGGTAGAAGTTGCAGTGAGCCAAGATCACGCCACTGCACTCCAGCACAGGTGACAGAGTGAGACTTTGTCTCCAAAAGAATAAATAAATAAAATAAAGTTAACTCTCCAATACTAGTTACATCTCCACATTTATGGGATGTAAGTAGAGCAGAGCTCAGAGGAAAATTAATAGTTTTAAATATTTATATTAGAAAAGAAAAAGGTCTAACACAATGATAAGAACCTAGAAAAAGAGGAGTAAAGCACACAAAAGTAAATAGAAGTTAGTATTTCATAAATATTCCTTCTCTTTCTTTTCCTTTAGGCAATATGCAAAATATTAAAAACCAAATATGCAGAATATTCTCATCACCCCCAGAAGTTTTCTCCTGCCTCTAAGAAAGAGAAGGTACCAATGTGTGGGAGTGCCAAAAGATTAAATTGTATACTTTAAACAGATGCAGTTTCTGTAATCCAAGCACTTTGGAGGCCAAGGTGGGCGGATCACCTGAGGTCGGGAGTTCAAGACCAGCCTGACCAACATGGTGAAACCCTCTTTTAAAAAAAATAAAATAAAATAAA